AACAGCGTTATGAACTTCAACATTCAATGGCGTAGAAGGCGCTAGCCCCACTGTGTACTGCCTCGGTTTTTTTTTGCGCCCAGAAGCAAATGAAAAGGGCTACCCCGTTAACGCGAGGAGATGGTGAATGCTTTATGCATACCATGACAGCCGGCTGTCGTGGTTATGTGGGACTCACTGTGACTAACTACCTTACAACCCTAAGTGTACCCACTAAACACCACCCATGGGACTTGCATTGGCTTATTACGCCTTTCTGCCGAATCGTGAGCGACCCTTTTTTGGGAAAAGAGGGCGCAGAGTCTACCTCGGGGGCACTGACCTTTATATACACAAGTTCGCTGGACTGGCTATGCCATACAAAATGCTTATGCCGATTTGAAGCGCCATCATTGTCCGTACCGGGAACTAAAATTGACATAATATGCCAAAGTCTGTTCCTATATAAAAAGTACCCTCTGTGCATGGAAATATATGTACTTCGTACAAACTGGAATCCGCACTCTCGAATGACATAAAAATACAAGAAAACGACCTTGAAATTTTTCATTACCCCTCAGTCTCTTTCGAATTAGGGTGAACATAAAATACAAGAATTTGGGATATTATGGGGAAAAATCAGTTTATTATTATTATATTCACATATAAAATTTGTATGCGAAGTCGATTTTTTTTTAAATTTCCACAAAGAAATTGCTTCAGTACCTCGCTCAGGATGATGATCATGATGAGTTCATGGTTAAAGTTTTCGGGAGGATGTCCTTACATCCCTTATAATGTAACATTAGGAAATAATAAAACTAAAATAATAATCGTTTTTATTTACATTTAATATTACAATAGAAATAGTGGTTACAAATTTAAAATATGCAACAATAATAATTAGAGGTGAAGGTTTTTACAACAATCTTTTAGATGCGTTCTGAGACGCATGGTTAAAAAAGAGTTTGAAATTCACAGCAACCACTTACCATCAGGTGGACTGTGTGCTCGTTTGTTACCCTATCCTATATAAAAAAAAATATTTTTAAATTCTGGATTAATGAAATTCAGAGCAATTAATACCGTCATCCATAGGCTTATGCAGTTCACCTGATGGTAAGTGATTGCTGCGGCCCATAGACATCTGCATCTATGCTCTATTACAAATCAAAATGCAGATGCGTTGTCACCCGTGAGAACTAAGATGGAATGCCTCATTTCCAGTAAAAAGGGTCTCCGGTTCTCTACACTCACCATACGAAATACTACAGCATTAGGCTGCTATTTTACGCTGGTATTCTGTTGAAGGTGTGGTCCTTCCCCGGTCGAGCTGTTTCTATTCCCATTCGTGCTAGAACTATACTACTAATATAGCTGCAGCATGGCTCTACCACGTATAAAATACACTATATATATAAATAAAACATTGTCCGCAACTGTGGTGTGAAGTGTTGAATAATAATATTGATTAATACATTTTTAATATAAGGTGACTCAGACTATTCATATTTGATGCCCTTTTAAATATTTTATCTGCAAAAAGTACAATTTTGTACACCTCTGCGGATGGAATAAGCAATTTACGTCTATTTACAAATGTTGTAGATATTCATATTTATTTACATTCAAAACGTATAAATGATCGGTTTATAAATGATCTGCAGCAATTAGCAAATTTTTACAATCGTTACATTTCAGCTGTTTGACAATATTTTTATTATATTACCGGTAATATAATAAAGAATAGTTTTCTGATAATCCGTATGGGTGTTTTGTTATTCCAAAGCCTGCAAGTGGTTTTCGATTTCATCATTAGTATCTGTATCATCAGTATTTGAGATCGGATTTGGATCAGATGAAAAGCTCCACAATGCAATTAAAAAAGGCCGAAGACCGTCTTAAGATCTCAACGTTTGGCAAAGTTGCATATTGTATAATAAATTAGAACTACATTTAAAAACATTAAAACAAAAATTGTTTTTTTATATTTATATCTTTATTTATAGCGATAGCACTTATATACGTGTAACAAAATTGTCAAAAAATTGATTTCCTGAGACCGCAATTTTAATTAAATGTATAAATTTTCATTTAAAAAATTAAATACAATTAAATGCTTAGTAAAATATTGTACAAAAATAGCTTGTAACTATTTTTACAAAGTATAGTAGGCTAGTGATATAACATATTTAGCTGTTCCTATTTTCTAGGTAACAGAATGCATTTTTCTTTCTTTCTCAGAAAAAAGATTTTTTTAAATTACTTTTCTTCCCTGGAAACAAAACTTCGCTTTGAAAGAAGAAATAACAAGTACTTAACAAAAGTTCATACCTGTACCACAGAACAATCTGCTATTTCATTTAAAAACGGTGTGACTCCTTGACTCAGTTGTTTCCCAGTAATCATGTAATTGGCTGATATGAAAAAGGTTACACATCTTTGCTTTTTCAAAAAAGGGTATTTTTAGCTCCACATTATTTAACCATTTATTACGTTCTGTTAGATTAGAAGGAAACCTGCATAAAATTAAGTAATAAAAGATTTAAATTTATTTTAATTTTGATATTTCAGTGTATCGTCATTTGTGTAAACAACGTTTCGAAATTTCACATCGAGCAGAGATTCCATTCGAGAAAACCTTTTCCGTTTGTAATTAAAATGAAAATACATTACAATGTATGGTCACACTAGTCGAAATTATAATACAAACATGAAACATTAATTATTAAGCAAATAGCGAAGTAAAATTGGAAATACCGAATAAAAATTAACATCTAAACCAAAATAACCATATTTCTACATAGAAATAATAGCAATTAAACTCGAAATATCACTAAAAATGAGTTTGACATGACTCGCAGCATTTGTATGGTATTTTGTACTTAAGAATGAAATATAATATTACATTCTGGATGCCACTCACTTTTGCAACCGCGCACAATACATTTAATGACCATTATACTAGTTTTGCCTCTGCATTATTCCAAAATTCAAAAACAAACTTGCGAAATGAACATAAACATCCGCCATGTACATTAACAATTATTTGACAAATAGATTTTGGGTTGTCATATAACGGCTTTTAAGAATAAATCTAAAATAGGGGAAATATGTAGGAAGTTAGGCAAATAGTTCATCGTAAATCTTTATTAAGTGTTTAAAAGAAACAGCAAACACTTAAGTGAAAATCGTTTTTGACAAGTTTCGTTATCATTTTTTACTTAAAATTCTTGCCATACTGAGAATTAAACTTATACAGAAATTCTTGATGGCTGTCAATGGGGTAATATCAGTAGTCACGTTGGCTATCCTGTAGGGAAAACAGGGGTTACTCAAGGTCATTTGATTATTCCTAATGTTGATATTAGGAGTGTGGGTTCCAGTTTGTCTATAATTCCGTGCCTCTGTGTGTCAAAGACATTTAAAGCCGGGTATAGACATGTATCATTTGCCCGATCCTATCACCGTATCCGATCACCGTACCGTATCTGCGTATTGTATCAAGCCCCGTATCAAGTTGTGGACGCCTCCGATTTGCTCCGTATCCGTATCTTCACAATAGTCATGATCGCGTATCAAATTGCCCAGTTCGGTTTCTGCTCTCGATCAAACATGTCGTCGCAGTTGATTGAAGTGTACGAGAATTTAGCAATTTCATGTGCCTGTTTTATTGTCATTCACAATATTCTAATCTCAAAACCAAAACAAAGACGGTGGTGGCAAACGGAATTATTTAGAAACAGAAACAGACTTGGAGGAAGAGCTTTGATGAGAGACCTAAGATTTCAACACATAAGTGGTAAATACAAAAACTTCACGCGTATGGCACCTAATGACTTCGAATATTTGATAAATTTGATTGGCCACAAAATTAAAAAAGCGGATACTACATACAGGAAAGAAATTTCTGTTGAAGAAAGATTAAGTGTCACTTTGAGATTTTTAGCCAGCGGAGATTTCTATACAAGCCTACATTATTTATTCAAAGTTTCTATACAATCGATAACTGTTATAGTTCCAGAGACCTGTCAAGCTATCGTGGAGGCATTAAAAGACAACATCTAGGTAGGATATTTTTTATTATAGAAACAATAATTGATCCATGACAACAATTATTATTAATAAACAATCCATGACAACAATTATTAGTAATAAACAATAAACAATAAATGTTTGTTACTAATAATTGATGTCATGGATCAAATCACGAAAAGAATCTTCGGAATCCATCGACGAATCATCCACTTGAGTTACTGGAGAATGTACTTGATTTTCAGTCATGTACGGGGCTAAACTTTGTGCTCTGTTTGAATAAGAAGAATTTACAGACATTTGAGGAGGTGTAGTCTCAGCCATGGGATATGTAGATGCCGGAGTGGAGTACACGCGCTGATATTCATATTGTCCACAATCAGCGTTATATAGGATGTTGTTTATTCCACAGTCATGTAGGTTTGCTTGGAATAACCGCTAAATTTGCCTGCCAAATAATTAGCGTATAGCTGATACTGGTCTAATCCAGTAGCGGGTGCAGTTGAAGCAATAGCTACCGCTTTAGCAGCCGAAGCTGATGATTTCAGCAAATCAAATGCCTATTGCAACATTGGGTCCTGGTTCGCGACGTATTTTCTCTTTTTCGGAAGTGGAGATTTGAATTCCGATTTTGATGAATTCTTTGCATTATCGGTTGTTTGGTCTGATTCAGTGCTCGCGGTGGAACATGGTTGTTTATCTTGTGACTGATCATGATCTTCACCTATGTGGTCATTTTCCTCATTTTCAGATGTATTATCCTTCGAAGCGCGGTCTTGGCCTTCCTGCAAACAAAATAAAATAATTATAATATATTTGTTACAGATGCCTACATCGCAGAATGGGAGGAAATTAGTTCCGAGTTTCAAAACTGTTGGGAGCTTCCACACGTGGTTGGTGCTATGGACGGGAAACACATTATGTTGCAGGCACCTTTCAATAGCGGATCGGAGTTTTATAATTATAAACAATTTTTTAGTATTGTTATGTTCGCTTTAGTTGATGCTTCATATAAATTAATATTTGTCGATGTAGGGTGTCAAGGGAGAATTTCCGATGGAGGTGTATTTAATGATTCCATTCTCAAGCAAAAAATTTCAAACAACTCATTAAATCTTCCATCTCCGAGACTATTAGAAGGAACGAATAACATTATACCATACTATTTTGTAGCAGACAGTGCATTCCCGTTAGGTATCCATATTATGAAGCCATATCCAGGTGTACATCCTAAACGATCATTAAAAAAAATTTTTAATTATCGATTATCAAGAGCTCGACGAGTGGATGAAAATGCTTTTGGCATTTTAGCTAGTGTTTTTAGAGTACTACGAAAGCCAATGCTACTCCAACCTGAAACGGCACAACTGATTGTGATGACAATACGTCATCTTCACAACTTTTTAATAAAAAGTACAAATTCTGCTAAAATTTATGCACCACCAGGTAGTATTGATAGTGAAGGGTCAATTACAACGGGAAGATGGCGTCTCGAAAATAACGATATAACTTCATTATTGCCTATCACGAATACTCCACGCAGACCTTCTTTGTCGGCCCAGATAATAAGGGATAAAATTGCTGAATATTTCTGTACAGTCGGAAAATTATCATGGCAAGATCATATGAATTAGACTTAAAGGCCGTAGCATATGCCGCCGTGCCAACCACATGGTGTCTCCTAATAAAAATTTTGTAATTTTTTTATTTTTTAAATAAAAAAAAACACAAATAATTAAAGTTAAATGTAATTATGTGGATGTGCTGAAGATACTCACAGTATTAATTCTCGGGCGAGGTTTGCTTCTGTCCATCAGAAATTGCAAATATTTGAAAGCGAACCAAGAAGACTGGTATACTTCATCAGCTCCTATAATTTAAAATTATGCAATGATTACTACTACGATATAGAAATAAGTATAACTATTCTAATCCCATCACATTCAGAGTAAAGTTTTCTGGTATTAGTGTGTAATTAAATTAAAAATAATAATAATAATTTATTTTAGTAGAGATGCTAGTCCCTCCATCACACTCCCATAGCCTGCCATAGTCCTGGGCACGTGATGGGGTCTCTCTCTGAATGCATTTCATATTAGTGTGTTGAGAGAGCGGTCCCATCCGTGCCTCACATCACAAACATTATTGTTCTCGAAGCGGCCACTACGTGTTGGACCTGTGTCCCTACGCAAGCCTTAAAGGACCGGGCTTCGGCTCGTGAAATCCTAATGAGATACAAATAATAATTTTTTATAATGTGTTTATGTTTTGTAATTTCTTTTTATATGTATTTTACTTTTATATCCATATTGTAAAAAGCCTAATCTAAGATTAAAGATAAATAAAGAGGAATAATAATAAAATAATAATTATAAAATATCAATTGAGTTTTCATGAACGGGTACGAGTAGAGTGCGTGCAAAATAATGCCACTCTGTTCGCCGCACGGTGGGAGGGGGGGAGGGGGGACCGACTTGTGAGAACTTCACAAACCGGCATAGATTTTGCACGCACTAGAAGTATCTACTTCCCTTTTCCTGTTGTGCTGGTTTTAGTGATTTTTGCTTTTTCACAGCGAAGGGCTGCCAACAAATAATCCATCTTTTTCTTCAATTCGCCAACTGGACACTCCATTTCGACGGAGAGTTCATCCCAGGCCTCCTGCTTCAGATTCCTGTTGTAATAGCTTTTTTGGCTGGGGTCCCATAGTACTTACTTTTCTTTATAGGCCTCGATAAATTTAATAACATTTTCATTGTTCCAATTCATTGTTTTTACTTCACAGCAAGGACTGAAAATGACGCCCACGTGCAACCGACTGAGCGTCGCGAGTGACGCGTCCAGACTGACCCACGTCCGTATCTGTATCACCTTTAATGATCGGACAAAAACCGACACGACATGGGACGGGCCGTATCATAACGGCGTATCGAGATCGCGTATCATGATACGCGTATCATTACCCGTACACATATGCGATCATGATACGCGTCGACGATACGGATACGGTGATCGGATCGGGAAAATGTTACATGTTTGGACAGTATCATATTTATTAAGTAGTAGTAAGTATACGTATATATTTAAATCTCTTTGCTGTGTGTATTATTTAAATCATATCTCTGTATTTTGAATTTTTAAATTAAAAAATGAAAGTATTTTATGTGGTTTGATTATGTTTGATTTTAATTACATGATAAGAATTATTTTTAGTAATAATGAGAGTGTGCGTAATATATAAAACTCGTACCAAAAGGAAAGTGGGATAACATTGCACAAGTGAATTTGCAGCTAATATTAAGCAAATTATAACTATTTAATAATATAGGGACTTAAAAATTTGGTACTAATTTTAATATCGTAATTACCAACATGTTTGTCTTTATATTACTGAGTTTTGATAAACAATAAAATTGTGGGTAAGGGCCCCACATATCGGGCTCGGGAAGTCCACAACTAAGACGGGGTCCTTGCTGGTGGGGCCACGGATGTGCTTGCAAGCGTTTCCATGGCCCTGTCAATGTGTGGTGAAAGTGAAACATCGTGGATTGGGGGCCCCCATCCCCTTCGTGGTTATTTTTTTATAAACCATCCAGAAATAGGAGCCACGCTATGCGTCCGTCGACTACACTTTGGTATTTTTTTATTACTTACTTTTGGTATTTATTTTGGCTACTTTGGTCGAGGGAGGTCCCTCCCCCATTCCTATTAAAGTGATTTTTCTCAGAAATCATTTAACAAAAATTTTAATCTGTAACATTTCATAAAAAAAATTGGCACGTCCGGCGGGGAAAAAGGTGGATGGCGAAAGAAAGGATTGATTGACAAGTGAAACGTCAAGTCGTCAATCCACTACTAATCAGATAAGATGTTGTTTTGGGCGATTCGACTGACCCATCATTGTGCTTTGTTTATAATAGCCAACGATTCTTTTCGCAAACTTTACTAAAGTGAGTGGCGTTTTTACAAAAACCCCTATATTTTATCAGTAAGATTCAGAAATGTGTAATTATTCGTGTTTTCTCGATATCCCTAGATTTTTGCGGAAAATTCGGTTTATCAAATTATCCTACGACATCTATACAAATATTCCTAGCCTTATGTCTATGGCCCTCAAGAATTGGTTTTGACAAGTATTGACTAAATTACTGATGTAGGTTGACGTTTGACATTTTTGTCCATCAACGTGACACGGCAAGCGTCACTAGTACTTATTAGTTTGTGGTCATGGAAATATATGTACTTCGTATTGTGGTCCAAGCTAAATGTACCTACCAGAGACGTCCGTCTGACGCATGAAAGTCGCTTTTCACTATGGGATATAATGTTTATTATATCCCGAGATATAAATTATATCCCGCGATTAGCTTTTACACTGTGAGATATATCTTTTAACCAGTGTGCGTTCGTAACTGCACTCGTCGTTAACAAATAAAATTGTCTTTCAAACAAAATGGATATTATTTTGCTTGATAGCCTTGACAGTTCATCAGAGGGAGATGATGCAGAATTCGGTTTATGTGTGTTACTTTTAAGTAAAAACCGGGAGCGTCGATACTGGATATCAAGTCATATAAAGTTTAGAGAGGATTATGGTGAATTTAGACCTTTTAATGAATTCTATTAAGTTACGAATACAAACGAGTATACGCACTACGCAAAAGTTCAATCTGGTAATTACAGAGTCAGACACGAACTTGAGGACGTAGCGGCGGCACGGAACATTATATTATATTCCATAGTGAATACTGGAGAAAGCTATAATTGAATTGAATGTGAAATAATGGTATCTCGAGGCTTATGCCGGCCTTTAGCATCTATTTACCCGAGAGTTTTGGCGGGAACTTGACTGGCGGCGGATTGCTGGTCCTGTATTATTGTTTAAATAATGGTTTGAAGTGGATTTTGATTTTGATATGTGATTTTCTGCGCATGTGAACTATTAGTGGAAACTGTGAAACAAGTGCTGCGATGGTGATGTGATTCTCAAGATAAGGTGGCTGTCTGCTTGGGCGCTTTGAGATGGCACATTACCAACTGTCAGCTGTCTGCTGGCTCAAGTTGCCGTCAAAATCTCCCAAGGGCTGCACAATGTGACACATCAACATATTGTGAAGCAGTGTACTATGAAGAATAATTATACATTGTAACTTCGGGCTCAGAAGGGCTAGAACCCAGAGCCGTAAAGCTAGTTATAAAAAGAAATTATTTTGATGTTTTTGAAAACTTTGATTTATGAATTTATGAAAAAGAGAATTCAATTTTATTAAAGCTATAAGAAACAAAAATGGCTTTTAGTGAAATTTGTAGAATTTGTTTAAGCGTTAATGTACGCATGTATATATTAAAGAAGACTGGCCTCCAAAATTTGTATATAACATTGACGAACAGTTTTGTAAGTTTGATAATACTTCATAATATTGCAAATTGTGATCATTTGTTGTTATCGCTGGAGAAATACATTATAAAATGCTAGAGATCAGGGCCAGGCTAAGGTGCAGCGTTAAATGAAGTGACAAATACAACCAGAACCTGAAAAACGACAATTAGCCTAGAATCCTGGGTCGCACTAAAATCAGTATTATCATTGAAGTAATATGTACTACGTACTAGAAGAGACGCCGACTCTTGGTTGATAGTTGTTTACATTAGGCGTTAGAGCCCGTGGGCTCAAACTTACTGAGTCTATGCCTCCATCCACGTGACCCGCACTGCGGCTTAGATTTGGTTCGCCGTGTCTATTCTAGTACATTACTTCAATGAGTATTATTGTTTATTGCGATTTTCCGTCAAGAAATTAACATCCACCCTAGTTTGGTGTTGCACACACAAGCCAATCTATCGACCTCTTGAAATGGGAGATTAGAGTGCACAAGTGCTTAGAGACACAAAATTCTCACTCTCATATTTCTCATATTCCTATCAGACTGAGAAATCAGAATGGGGACTAATCTGCACATGTACTTGCTTACACACATCTAATATAATCCTGGCTTCGCTGATTAATAGTCTTTGTTGTGACCAAATTCTGTCTGTAGGACATTATTATCATTATTTTATATGTGATAGAGCCATGCTGCAGCTATATTGTGATTATATCATGGAGGGGTCAGCTCAATGGGGGTGGTACCATGCTCTCACAGAATACCAGCGTATAATAGCAGCTTAATGCTGTTTTGTATGGCGAGTGTAGAGAATGGGAGGATAAGTATATATTAGTGGTGAGGTGTTCCATTATGGTCCTCAGGGGTGACAAATGACAGGGGATAAATGTAGATGTCTATGGGCCTTCAACATTCACTTACCATCAGATGGATTGTGTACACGTTAGAAAAGAATTATTGGAATACATATATTTAAAATGCAAAATACCTATATACCTATTTTGCATTTAGGATACTTTTTTCATAATCTATTTTCTATTTTATTTAAGTATTTAACTTGTATGACTTAATATAAATATTTGTTAAATTTTTAATTCATATTTCATATTCATTATTCATTTATCTTTAATTGAAATATACTTTATTTTTCTGCCGACTTCCGAAAAGTAGGCGGTACTCAATTCAACTGTATGTTTTTTTTTAATGTGTGTTACCTAATAACTTTGTACTGGGTGAACCAATTTCGATGA